GATAACGATGTGACCCCTGGCTTTCATTATTATGAAGCTGATGGCACTGCCTTGAACATCTACGACATCACAGGGTCTACACATTCACGCATCATCCAGTGTCTTAAATCCAAGAAGCCGCTTGCTGGATTCGACCGAGACCTCACTAAGTTTGAGGAACTCGCTGATGGTTCACCACCAAGCGAGCCACCTCCAGCAGCTGCTCCTGAGCAGCCTCCTGCGGCGAATGATGGTCGGCTCCCGACCATCATAGAGGAAACAGAAGAGGATCTGGATGTCTTTGTCTTGGAGTCATGGTATGCTGAACTGATGGATGACAGAACACTCCTTGAAGCTGACACAGAAGAAGTCATGCACACAGTTCCGACATACATGACAGACTCACAGTGCGCGTTGGTCTCTACGACCTGTGAAGATGTGCAAGGCCACTTGCCGGTGCGGGGTCGCCCGCCAGGGTACGACATGGACACCTCTTACTACGTCCCTCTGTGCTCCACTGATCCGGACAGCCACTATGATCTGGACTCCGACGAGCACGGGAAGTACATCGAGCTTTGCTTCACAGCAGACATGTCCAAAGTCGTCCTGTCCGAGCAGCAACACCGATTGTTGGATGACAGCAGCGTCACAACTATGCGAGTATATGTTAGTGCCGCCTCCAAACGTGCCGTGGTCGTCAAAGAAGACGACCTACTCACGAAGGCCGACATTCAAGCGAATCCGGTCAAAGTTTCCAAAGCCCTTTACACAGAATTGAAGACTTGGCTTGACAACAAATGCTTCCAGATGACTGACTTGAGCAAAGCGTCGAACATCATGACTTCACGCTATGTATACAAATGGAAGTTTGTCAAGAACGAGAAGGGCGAAATGGAACGGACGATCAGGTTACGCTTGGTACTTCGTGGCTTCATGGACATTGAAGCCTTCGATGTCGAAACCTTCTCTGGCACGGCAAGGAGGTCAAACCAGAGATTGCTCGCAAGTTCTGCTGCATGCAACAAAGCTTGGATCATCGCTTCCCTGGACATCAACATGGCTTTCTTGAAGGGACTGACTTATGGCGAGCTCGCCGCGGCAACTGGCGAGAAAGAGCGTGTGGTGTGCTTCGCGCTACCTCCTGGGTCAGCAGCTGTCCTTCGCACATTGCCAGGCTTTGAGTCATATGACGAATCAAAGCATTGTCTTCGGTGCCTCAAGCCGGGGACTGGCACGAAGGATGCTCCCAGGGCATTCTCGCTGAAGCTCAGGTCCATCACCAGGAGCTTTGGACTACAGCCTACTTCATACGATGAAGAGTTCGAGATGAGTTCAAACCTCTTGACAGCCAAACACGTTGATGACATCAATATGACTGGGAAGGAAGATTCCATTGACAAGTACGTCAAATGTGTTGAAGATACGTTTGGAAAGTGCAAACTGAACAAGCACACATACACAAATTGTGCCGTTCGGTACAACAAGACCGATGATGGGAGCGTCACTCTTGATCAGGACGAATACATCAAACAACTTCGTCCTATCACACATCCAGAGCTCACAGGCGCTGATCCTGAGAGCAAAGCGACAAAGACGATTTCTGATATGTTCGTCAGTCTTCGTGGCGCTCTAGCCTATGCGTTGATCACGCAGGTATGGCTGATGGTCTATGTTGTTTCACTGCAACGTATCCAGGAACCGACAAACATCCAGGTACGACGACTGAACGCGGTTACCAGGAAATTGCAGGCAGGTCCGAAGAAGATCGTGTATCAAGCTATGACTCCAACAGGAGAGGTCGACCTGCATAGCGATTCTGGCTATCGTCGTCTCAACGGAGATGAAGACGACGAAGTCAAAGGCTACGGTATCCGCGGGGCTAACCTGCTGAGGCGTGGCCACACGCAAGCGGGGAAACCCGTCGTGCACCTGGTGGACGCATACTGCAAGTCTCATCGACTGCAGGTGCGTTCGAGCTACTCTGCGGAAACACTGGCAGCAGCCCACAACTTGGAAGACTGCTACCCGACCATTGTAACGCTCCACGAGCTACACTCGGGACCATTGACCCCCACACAGTTGAATAACATATTGGAACTGGGTGGTCTATGTATCAAAGTCACTCTGACTATTGATGCCGAGTCTGTCTTCAAGTCTTTGTCTAGCAAAGGTCTGAAGAAGCCCACAGAATGCACTCTGCTTGGGCACACCAGCTGGATCCGCCAGATGATGGAGCGCGGAATCGTTGAAAGCGTCCAATGGTGTGACACGCGGGATATGACTGCCGATGGTCATACCAAAGGTAGTATTGACCGCGCGTTGCTCCTACAGGTAATGGCCGGTCAGCAATCCTTCAAGCACGAGCTGAAGAAACATACTCCGTATAGGGCGGGCAGGTCGTCTCAGGACGGCCCTGCCTCCCGAGCTAGCGGGGAAACCCGCGCGCAGGTGCGCTTTAGTAGCGAGGAAACTCGCCGGTAGCGAGGCTACTCGCGCGCCCTTGCCTTGTAGGCAGCCGCTGTTGCCTAGCACTGTTTTTTCCGCGTAATGTAGAAATTCGGTGCTTGCTCGTCTCCTCCCCCTCCAACTTTAAACGGAGAGGGTTAAAGGCGAGATGTAAATCGAGCATGCACCGCTGCCGTGCCTGGCTCAAGCCGGGCCCGGCCGAACATGTGATTGTGCCTCACCGAGGCGCACTACTCGCATCTGAGATCGGAAAAGACCTTTCTATTGAAGATGCCCCTTCTATCCTTTACTCCAGATCCCATGCTTCATCTTGCTCTCTTGCTCATGCGGTATGAGCCAAAGCCTGGGATATGGGAGCGCCTAAGGCGGAACATATATCTTGGCTTACCAGTGCGTTTTCGACTTCTTGGGCCGTTCTGGGGCCATCTTGGAGGCCTCTTGGGCGATCTTTGGGGGCTCTTGGGCCGTCTCGGGCCGTCGGAAGGCCGCAAAGACGCAAATGTCACAATCCTTCAAAAACCTCTGGAACATCACTGTTTTTTGCCTTTTCTGGCCTTCATGGAGGCCCTCTTGGAGGCCTCTTGGGCCGTCTTGGGCCAGCTTCGAGCCAACTTCGGTCAGCTTGGTGGGCTCCTGGCCCGTCTGACGCCGTCGGAAGCCGTTTGGGGGGCCTCTCTGGGCCGAGTTGGAGAGGGGACCCATGAGGGGGGGCGAGAGGGCGCGAGAGGGGGCGCGAGGGGGGGAGAGGGGGCCAGAGGGGGGACCTTTGAGTCCGGGGGGGAGGGGGGACCCTTCCCCCCTTGAGTCTGGGAGGGGGAGGGCGAGAGGGGGGGGGAGGGGGGGGAAATGTCTGGGGGGGAGTCCCTCGGTTCCGACGTGTCGTGGGAAGTTCCCAGGGCAAGCGCCCGTGAAACGCACACCCTCCCAGGTCACGAGCCATCACAAAAGATGCGCTAGTCTAGCCAGTCTGCTTTCCTAGGTCTCGAACGCGATGCAGGGCCATGGGATTATGACATGTGAGCTTTCCCAGGCCACCCCCAGGTCACGAGCGTGTGGCAGGGCCACTGGATCTTCAGCATTTCACATTTCTGAGGTCACGAGCGTGTGGCAGGGCCATCGGAATCTCAGCATTTTGGCTTTCCCAGGTTACGAGCGTGTGGCAGCGCCATCAAAATCTCACCATGTCAACCCTAGCTAAAACAAGCAAAACCGCCTGAGACAGCGCCACAATTTTTGGCTCGAGTATTGCGAAAGCTTTACGGCCGGCCGGTGCCGCCGACCCTGCAGACGGAGACGACGAGCAGGACAAGGACGTTGAGGAACAGGAGGCGGAGGACGTCAGGGAGCAGGAGAGGGGAGGAGGAGGAGGAGGAGGAGGAGGAGGAGGAAGAGGGAGGAGGAGGAGGGAGGAGGAGGAGGAGGAGGAGGGGAACAGGAGGAGGAGGGAAGATGAGGAGGAGGAGGAGGAGGGGAACAGGAGGAGGAGGAGGAGGGGAACAGGAGGAGGAGGAGGAGGAGGAGGAGGAGGAGGAGGAGGAGGAGGCTGAGAGCCTGAGACAGCGCCACAGATTTGGGCTCGAGTATTGGAGTGTCCCCACCCCTTGGTGCCCTCCTCCTCGAGCTGCTGAAGGCGGCGCCTCGCTCGAGACGTCCTCGCAGCCGATTTCGATCGCGGGGAGAGCAAACATTTTGAGAACCCCTCACAATCTACGACAGCTACACATTGTTCATTCCTAATTATTCGAAAATTATTTGATTTTTTTGGGGGGCAGGATCCTTTCATTTCAAAGTGTTCTATCCTGGGCCTCTTCCTGGCCCCCAGGGGGCCAGGAACATCAGAAACGAGCACATTTAGAAATGAGAACGATTAGAAATGAACGACGTGTAGATCAACAGTTATTGCACGACTTATCTCATAGATGGGGCACCGGGTGCCACCAACCCTCCGAACTTCTGAAGTTCCTGAAGCGCCCGACGCCCCCGACAGGGCCTCCCGCGTAGTGTCGGGATCTCCCCAGGGTTCTTGCGCGGTGTCGAGGTGTCCCGGGGGGTCCCACGCGATGTCGGGGCCTCCCGCGTGCTGTCGGGACCTCCCGCGTGGTGTCGGGGTCTCCCCAGAAGTTCCCGCGTGGTGTCGGGGCCTCCCGCGTGGTGTCGGGCTCTCTCGCGTGACGCGAACCCCTCAAGCCCCTGAGGCTCCTGACGTCTTCGATTCTTCTGAAGCTCTTGAAGCTTCCGAAGTTCTTGAAGCTCCTGAAGCTTGCGAAGCCCGCGAAGCTCCTGAAGCACCTGAAGCTTTCGAAGCTCCTGAAGCTCCTGAAGCTTCTGAGGCACTTGAAACTCTCGCATGGAGTCAGGGCCAACCGCGTGGTGTCGGAGGGGTCTCCCCGGGAGTTCCCGCATGCTGTCGGGACCTCCCGCGTGGTGTCGGGGTCTCCCTGGGGTTTCCCGCATGGTGTAGGGGGCCTCCGGAGTGGTGTCGGGGTCTCCCGCAAGGTATCGGGGTCTCCCGCTTGGTGTCAGGGTCTCTCGGGCCCTCCCGCGCCCCCGCGTAGTCCCCGTCACCACGCAAACCTCTGAAGCCCCTGAGGCTCCTGACGCTCTCGGAAGTTCTGAAGCTCCTGAAGTTTCTGAAGCTCCTGAGGCTCCAAAAGCTTCTGGAGCCCCTGAAGCTCCTGACCCCCCCGAAGCTCCTGAAGCTCCTGAAGCTCCCGAAGCTCCTGAAGCTTCTGAAGCTCCTGAAGCTCCAGAGCGTCAGAAGAGTCGGAAACGTCGCGAAGCTCCTGGAGCTCAGAGCGTCAGGAGCGTCAGAAGCGTCGGAAGCGTCGGAAGTGTCAAAAGCGTCGGAGTGTTAGCGGCACCGCCTGTCCCATCACTGATCTGTTTGCTTCACGACTGCTTGTGCTTAGTTTATGACTGTGCACCCATATTCATGAACATCTCGGCAGGCAAGGCTGGGGGCCCAGGAATTGTCCCGCGTTGCCTCCTTCTCCTTGAGCTGACCGACGGCGCCGCGGACAGTCAGCAAGCTGACAGGCCGCAGTCAGGTGCAGCGGGCTCGGGGGGATTCAGGTACGCTGTATATGTTGCCTCGCGAAGCCTGTGTGTTTTTCCAGTGATAGCAGAGTTGGGTAGCTTCGCCATATAGCGCTTTGAGGCGTTCTCCGACGGCCGACGCGTTTTGAATGACATCATTCTGACAAAATCACGACGTCGGGGGTCTGGGTCTTCCTCCCGTCCTCCTCGCCCGCCTCGTCCTCGGCTTCCTGCTCGTCCGCTTCCTCCTCGCACTCCCCTCTGGTTCTCCTCCCCCGCCCTCCTCCTCGTTCCCTTCTGTTACCTCGTCCTCTTTTTTCCCCTCGCGCTCGTTCGCTCCTCCTTTTCATCACGTCCTCTATTCATCCTCCTGCACATCATTGTCTCGCCATTACTTACTTTTGGCATTTTTTGCGCATTTTCTTCGTATATTAGCTCGTGCTCTTATACATCGTGCCGTCGTGTTTTCACCCTCTCCCCTCTCTTTGTGTCTCCGGTCCAGTCCCCGCGTTCCGCTCCCTGCTCCTTCCCCCCTCCCCCTCGTCAGTGAGGGTGGGGGTTTACGGGAGATGATGACGACGCAGGGCCCGACTATAGATCCACATCCACCGCCTGCCGAGGCACACCGCGGCGGTTATGGATAATTTTCCGCCTCGGAAAATCAAGACCGGGGGGGGGAAGAAGAAGAGGGGGCGCGGAGAGGGAGGCAGCCATCTCCTCCTTCTCCTCTTCCTCCTCCCGTCCTCCTCTCCCATACTCATCCCGCTGCTCCCCTTTTCCCACCTCAGCCTCCCTCCCCCCTCCTCGCTCGCTCGCTCGCTCGGGCCGCTTGTCCCCTCAAACCTTCTCAGACCGATATCTGGCAGGTTCTCCGTGACCATCCGAGCGGATGTCCCGAATCACACCGCAGGAGCAGGAGGAGGAGGAGGAGGATGAGGAGGAGGACTTGTCGAGGCCGACGACGACCCCCGACGGTCCCCAGGTCTCAGGGTGCCCCCCGAGTTCTGGCACGGGAGGCCACGGAAAGGCCAGCCACGTTCAAACCCGCATGCCAGCATGCAGAGCCGACGACGACGACGACGGCGCCGGCCGCGGATGTAGCTGCGGCAGCGGCCAGGGCCCGCACGCTGGACGAGCGCCGGCGAGGGCCCAAGGCCCTGGGCGACCGCGGCGACGAGAGCGACCCCGCGGGGCCCAAGAAGGCCCAGCCTGATTTACAGACCTCGATCCTCGACCCGGGATCCCTCATTCTCCCCCCTCGATCGTAGACGACTGCGACGACGTTGGCGGCGACAACGACGACCCACGACCACAGCCACGACGACCACAGCGACGACGACGGTGCCGACGAGGAGCGCTGGCGGCCTACAGAAGTCTGGCGACGACCACGACGACGGCGAACGATCGACGACGGCTGACGGCTTCGACAGATCTCCAGAGTCCGGCCGGGAAAAGCACAACGCGCCCCAGAATGTGCAATCGTCCGATCACGTCCACAGACGACGACCACCACCACCACGACCACTACGACGATCACCGCGACGATCATCACGGCGGCGGCGGCCGCGGGAGCGGCCTGACGGGGCGGCGGTCTGGCGGCCCTGAGGTTTTGGGGCCCTCCTCGGCCATCTTGGCATTCGTGTCACTTGTGCACTCTGGGAAGAATTCGGAGCCTTCCAACACGTCGCACGTGGATCTCGCACGGCTCCGCGGCCGCCCACCGAACCGGAAGCTTTTCCCCAATTGGCCCAGCACCTCCACGCGCCAAGGGCGGCCCTTGCCTGGGGAACCTCTCCTTTGGTATCTCGGGTTTCGCGGGTTAGCGCAAGGCGCAAAGTCTATTGACAACCGCTGCACAGTCGGCTAGAACTTCAGCGTGCGCGAAGCGCGCGTGGTTCTGGTCCGCGAATTTGCTTCAGCGCCCCGCCCGGGACGCGCTTCAGGCCACCCGCGCTCCCAGGGCGGCGCCTCCACCGAAGGGCGCTCGCCTCGGCACAGTGACGATGTCGCCTCTCGACGTCGTCGCACTGGGAATCCCAGGCACGCCAAGTACGCGGCGGGGCGGCGGGGCGTCTCGGGCGGGGGGGCGCGTCGGAGCGGGGCGGCGTCAATTTTCGATTCATGGGTCCTTCCGCCCCGACCACTCGCCCGCGCGTGGGGCCGTCTTGGGGTCCTCTTTGAGACCTCTTGGGCCGTCTTGGGGCGATCTTGGCCCGTCTTCGAGCGCCGGGTAGCCGAAAAGGCGAGAACACCAGAACCGTTCAAAAACCGAAGGGAATCTATGATGTTTGCCTCCAGGGGCCCTCTTGCGACCCCTCTTGGAGGCCTTTTGGGGCCTCGTGGAGGCCTCTTGGGGCGTCTTGGAGGCGTCTTCGGCCGTCTGGAGGTCATTTCGGGCGTCTTGGACGGATCGGTCGGCGACTCGGAGCTTTCTTGGACCGTCTTGGGGGCTCTAGGGATCCTCTTGGTGCGCTCTAAGGCGCCTGAAAGGCCGCACCCAGGAGGGAAACCATCTCTGAACCGACTCTGGGGTACTTGTCGTCCAGGGAACCCCAGGGGCCGCTTCGCGCGCGCGACCTAGACATCTTCTTGACCAGTTACCAGAGAGGTTAGCACGCCTCTGGCCCCTTGGGCCAGCGAATTTATAATTATCCCAGTGCGACCCTACCTAGGAGTTGGAACCTCTAGGAAAGCAACATGCTAGGCTAGGCTATGCTAGGCTAGGCTATGCTATGCTATGCTATGCTGCGCTATGCTATGCTGCGCTATGCTATGCTATGCTATGCTATGCTATGCTATGCTATGCTATGCTTTTGCTTTGCCTTCGCTTTTGCCTTCACTTTTGCCTTTGCTTTTGCTTTTGCTTGGCACCCGGGGAGCGCAACTGCGGGAACCGCGCGTTTGCTTTTACCTTTGCTGTTGCTTTTGCTTGGCTCCCAGGGGACTGGGGGAACCGCCCGGGGCGGTTTCCACTGCCCGGCCCCTTTAAGCCAACAGAGTAAGAACCCTTCTAGGCAGAGCTTAGGTAGGGAATGAAAAGGGGAGGAGGAGGAGAAGGAGGAGGAGGAAGAGGAGAAGGAGGAGGAGGAGGAGGAAGAGGAGGAGGAGGAGGAGGAGGAGGAGGCGGAGCGAGGAGGAGTGGTGAGCGAGGAGCGAGAAGTGAGGAGCGAGAGGGCCGCCAGATCTTAGAGTTCCCGATGTGTCTCGTCCTGGTCCTGGCCTCGTCTTGCCAGGGACTGAAGCACTTCCTCGCCCAGTTCCCCAGCGAGTTCTCCGTCGACGGCGCCAAGGGCAGCGAGTACGTGACGTACACGCCGGCCCAGATCTCGGACGCGGATGGCACGGCTCCCAGTTGCACCCCGATTCAGCTGAGCGAGGCACTTGCGCCGCCTCTGGGAGGAAGGGGAGTTGGAGGAGGACGACGAGGAGGAGGAGCAGGAGGAGGAGGAGGAGGAGGAGGAGGAGGAGAAGGGGGAGGGGCAGGAGGAGGGGGACCAGGAGGAGGACGACCAGAAGGACGAGGAGGAGGAGGATGAGGAGGAGGAGGAGGAGGGAGAGGGAGGGAGCGAGGGAGGGAGGAGCTAGGAGGTAGGACGAAGATAAATAAGGTACATATGATGGTGACGATGATGATGCTGATGATGATGATGAGGAGGAGGAGGAGGAGGATGCTGCTACAGCTGCTGCTGATGATGATGATGGTGACGACGATGATGATGCTGTTTCTGGTGATGATGATGGTGATGGTGATGATGATGCTGGCGATGATGACGATGATGATGATGCTGATGATGAGGATAATGATGGTAGTGATACTGATGATGATGATGCTGATGATGATGACGATGCTGATGATGATGATTGTGCTAACTGTAATGGTGATGACATTGTTGTTGCTGCTGATGATGATGGTTATGATGATGAAGATGAGAACGATGATGATGCTGATGATGATCATATTCATCATGATGATGCTGATGATGATGCTGCTGCTGATCATGATGATGATGACGATGGTGAGGATGAAGATGCTGCTGCTGCTTGTGATGAAGATGATGAAGATAATGGTAATGATGATGACGATGGTGATGATAATGATGATAATGATGATGCTGATTATGATGATGATGATGATGATGATTACGATGACGATGACGATGATGACGATGATGATGATGATGATGATGATGATGATGATGATGATGATGAATATGATGATGATGATGATGATGATGATGATGATGATGATGATGATGATGATGATGATGATGATGATGATGACGATGACGATGACGATGACGATGATGATGATGATGATGATGATGATGATGATGATGATGATGATGATGATGATGATGATGATGATGATGATGATGATGATGATGATGATGATGATGATGATGATGATGATGATGATGATGATGATGATGATGATGATGATGCGCTGGCCCCCCCAGAGCAGCCGCTCCACCTGCCGCTTGGGGCCATGGAGGGCTACGCCGTGGCCGTCGGGGAGGGCGCCTCGGTGGGGTCGTCGGCGCGAGGCGACAAGGACATGCCCTCCGCGAGGAGTCCAAGGCAAGAGAAGGCCGCGCCGTCCGCGGATGAGGAGGAGGGAGAGGGGGAGGGGGAGGAGGAGGAGGAGGAGGAGGATGAGGGGGAGGTTGAGGGAGGCAAGGATGATGATGATGATGATGATAATGATGATGATGATGATGATGATGATGATGATGATGATGATGATGATGATGCTGCGAACGATGATGATGATGATGATGATGATGATGATGATGATGACTATGATGATGATGATGATGATGATGATGATGATGATGATGATGATGATGATGATGATGATGATGATGATGACTAAGATGATGATGATGATGATGCTGATGATGATGATGATGATGATTATGATGGTGGCGATGATGACGATGATTATGATGATGATGACGATGATGATGCTGACGATGGTGATGCTGGCGATGATGCTGATGCTGATGATGATGATGATGACATGATGATGATGGTCATCATCATCATCATCATCATCATCATCATCATTATGCTGATGATGCTGATGATGATGGTGGTGGTGGTGATGATGCTGCTGCTGCTGCTGCTGATGATGATGATGATGGTGGTCGTCATGATTGTGCTGGA